ACAAAATGAACATTGACTTCTACTCTGTATAAGTGAAGATTGCATGTTCTTACTGTGTCTTGCTGGTGGGATTTTTTTCAAAGGAGAGGCATTGCCCATAGTGTGAGACAGAGTGCGTGAGGGTGTACGTGCCCTGCAATGGACTGGCATCCCATCCAGGCTGCACCCCAGCCTGAGGCCCTAAGCTGTCGGTTATAGGTTCTAGACTCCCCTGTGATCCTGCTCAGGATAAGAGGCTGAAATATGAATGGATGGATATAAACATTTGAAAGAATCCATTCCGTTGCATTATATGTTTACATCACATCTATTCCTGGAAAATGCAGCATTTATTATTCATGTTCTCATTTACTCTATTCATTTCTCATTACTACAATCGCCTATGTTATGGACAGTGTGAACGTCCATGTTATACCGTTGTGGTCTTGAAAAATCACATATTTGAGCATCATCTTGTTTTTCAGTTACATAAGGCATACAATGTCTGTGTTTGTATACAAAAGAAGCCCTGAACTAGTTTCTAAATTGCCAGGTAGTCATTTACGTCATCTATGCTGCATTTTATTTGTATAGTTAGCATGAACAGGAGGGCAGGGTGGCAAGATGACCTCTGACCTCTTGAGGATTTTCCACTGCTATGCACTCATGTACATAAATAGAACAAATAATCCCAAATTGTGTTTTGAAGGTTTTTACATTTGTGTAAATTACGGGGAATTTCCTAAAAATGAGGCAATCCTAAACTGACAATTTCCTCATAAACAGCATATATATATGTAATCTCTTAACATAATTTCATGTTTATTATAGGGTAACAGGAGAGGGACTCTATGTGAGCAGACCTCTGTAAAACTAATTTGTATGTCTCTCCAAGTGAATCTGTCTGTGAATGCAAAAAAGTAAAGCAAGAATCTGTCAGTTTGAGTGACCGGACAGGGACTAAAATAGCGAACAAAGAAATATTAAAAAGACCAGGAAATTTCCATGCTACTGCATTTCAGCTGGATGTTCATGGGGATATTCTGCACTTAATCACTTGTCGTTCATCCATCTGACTATTTTACAGTTGTTCAACCAGTACAGGGATGTCGAGGTTCATTGAGCCAATCGCAGGAGACAGAGGGCAGGGGAACACTCCGAATGGCATGCCAGTGCAATGTGGAACACTCGTTCACTATGGTTAGTTTAGAGACACCAAGTTGCATAGCCATAAGTTTTTTGACTGTGGAAAGAAACTGGTTTACCTGAAGGAAACCAGTATGAATGTGGGAAAATCATGCAAACTCCACACACAGCGTGGGGAAGGATTCCAATCTCAACCCTATACATCTGAAGCCATTTTGCATGCTTCAGTTAATCAATGAAGGAGTTTGAATTTTATGTAGTCTTCAGAGTCTATAGTCATTCTAAGTCAATCCATCCATCCATCCATCCATCCATCCATCCATCCAACCGGTTATCTATTACAGAATTGTGGGGAGCCTGAAAGCTATCTCAGGGAACACAGTCAATTATATTTGCTTGATGAATTGTGTTACATTTGACTGAAATATTTCCCTCTCAGTAACATATTCAGTGTGCTTACTAGGTTTAGTACTTATAAAGATGGAGGAACTGAATTACAGCAAAGTTTTATTATATTCACACTAAACAAGTGTTCTCGCCATACTTCACCACTCGTTTACATTGTGCAACACTTTAAACATCCTGTTTCATCTGCACTTTCTGTTTCACAAAGAGGAAAAAGAAAATAAACAAAAAACATCAGCACCATGCCCAGGTTTTCCAATTATATTATTGGGATTTTAAACAAAATGAATTGGAAATAAAAAAATAATGTCATTTAATGACAATTAGTTGTGATCGTGAACTATGTAACAGATATTTACACAAAAATGGTACAAATATTACAAAAATGATAAGTTTGCAGCTCGAAAGTATCATTCTGCTGTATTTGTTTAAGAAAATCTTTGCTGAACAGTCATGATAATCTGAGGTATTCAAAGTCAAAACTCTACAGTGAAGGTATATGTATTCATCTGGTCACCTTTTACCAAACTTTCATCCCAGGTTGTTCATTACAAAGAAAACAACTGAAAAAAACCCACCTGTTCTGGAAACTGATTAGCCTATCAGAATTGCACATATATGTGTGTAACTTGGATATTTTTCCTCTGCAGTTGCAGCTACAGAATACTGCACCTGAATGGATTCAAATTACAAGCTGCTCAGAACAAGAATTAAAGATACAGGTAGCATCTTAGATGAAAGTCATCAAGCTACCAATGCTTTGATTTAGAATTTCCTCAATATTTCTGAGGTCGATTAAAAGATGCGTAATTTTATTGTTAATGGAACTTCCCACAGAGAACAGAAGTTTTCTGGAGGTAAAACCCTAAACCTGCTGTCCTGCTATCAAATTTACGGTCAGCAAACTAAAGCTTGTCAGTAAACTACACATTACATCATTCTCCAAGGTCTGTTTTAGCCTCTTCAAGTACAAAGGTCATTTCCATAGAAACAATTATCCGTTCAGAACCTCACTCTTAAAATCCCAAAATGACTAAACCACAGTACAGTGGTGTTGATTTGTAATATAATATATATTTTGACAACATATTATGCTCCAGACTAGGCCAGCAGTTATGGCTTTGAGTGCAGTTTATAACATATTAACTCTTTTGCAACAACAACATTGTGAAATGTGTGGTGCAGGCAGTTTTAAACCCAGTAAGTATCTATTGTAATCTAGCTAATTAAACCCACTGAATGGTTGCTTGCTTACCAATTGACTATATAAATATGCAGTTCAATGGCATTTTTGAGTTATAGACTATTTCTTATGAGTAATGTTGTCCTTTTTCTTTTCCTGGTCTAAGAAAGTGTATCTGATATTTAAAAAAATTTGCGATGGTAAACTATTGACGTGAGGAAAATAAAGCCAGTCTTATGGTTTCATTAAAGAAATGTGTTTCACGGAATTGTGTAATAATGGGCCTGTACTCTTTAAAATGGTGAAAACTTCAGGCAACCAAGCTGGCCACTGGGTGACCAATTTTGTTGGGCATCAGTGGTCAGATCAAAGCGGCTTCCTTCTCACAACTATTTCACCATATGCTGCTATTTTTTTCTAATGGCATTGTGGTGACTCTAATGTAGTCATCACTGAAGCAGTGTTGAGAAACTACAGACCTTCTTCCCCATGGGATGCGGAACATTACTTTCTGGAGGACATTATTGATAATAGCATGTACTTCTTCAGCTATGAAGGTTGTCATACACAACCTGAGCATCAGATGCTGATAAATGTGTTTATGCATATTCCTGTCAAACACTGAACTTTACTTTTCTTGAGGACATCATTCCATAGATGGTGATTCAGGCTTTGCCTTAAGCATTCTTGGTAGTATATGACGTCAATGCGAGATGAACAATAATAATAATTAATCATTTTTTAGAGTATGATTTGTGACTTGTTTTCCAAATAATTTCTTAATGTACATTAAAAGTGAAACCATTTATGTCATGCAAGTAAATCACAAGTCCGTGGCTTTCTATTCATCAGCAAAAACAAAAAAAAAAAAAACTTTACCCTGAATATTTGCTTAAAACTTACTTAAAAAATGTGAAAAACTGTGATAATATCAGCAACATCCTAACTTTGATTTCAGGGCATCCTACAGGCAGTATCAGCACCAAAGCTGCTAACTTTACCTTCCATTGATATATGTATTTCCATTTCGATACAGGGCAAAGAAGATTGACTTTCGGATTTTTAATGTGGTATAAACTCTCTTTTGTGACTGAACCCAAAAAATGAACATCCTTTACAGTGAGAAATCTCTTTGGAATGTGGGGGGGGGTGTACTTCTGAGGTGTGCGGAGCATTTTAGACATGCAGCTGGGAAGTTACAGATAATGATTAACCACAAGACACATATTGGAAGGAACTCTAGGCCATAGTTAACTTTCCTTCCAAAAAGTGTTGATATGAAGGAAAGTACAGTCTAACAAAGTATATTAAAAAAAAAAAAATATAGACAAAATATATATCCAAAAATAAATTATTAAGGAGTTAAGAAAAAAATAATCAGAATTATTGTGGCTTGTAGAGATTCAGTAACATCTTTCAGATGCTTTTGCTGGATTACAAAACCATATGTACCTTATTTTCCTAATTCCCAGAAAGAGACCATAATGTATCGATAAAGCTAGCTAATCTCGATTTTCTGAGGAAAATTATCCAAAATTCAATTACGTATAATATAGAGTATGCAACCAGATTTCTGTACAAGCAAAACTGGATCACTACTTTCAGATGGACACAATGGCCTGTGCTATTTAATTACAATAAAACAGTGAAAAGGAGTTTCATAATGTTTTTGAGTTCAAGGTTTGTATTAAATACTCAAGAGCTACCATGATAAAGATACTGTTAATGTTCCTAAACTCAGTATGAAAAACCTCTCCCTCAGATCCTCTCCAGTCTCTGAGTTTAATTCCATTGTTACGCAAGGTGCGCCCTTCTGGGGCTGCGTCAGCCGGCCATTCCCTGCTGGGGGCCTGGGGTGCTGTTATTTCAGTGATAATTCCATCAACAGTCTTTTTACAGGAAACATTAAATGGTATGCATTTCTTCAGCCTCTAAGAAATTAATCTGTTATGCATAAAATGTATTTCAGATTTTTTTTTTCAAAGAAAAATCTATGTATAAAAAACTGAAAAAAAATACTTTACTAACAGGGGAAAGTCATCTAGAGGGCCACCTTGTGGAAACCCAGTGTAATGTGTGTTGGTTCAGGTTAATTTCACAGGGTTTCTCTATGAAAAATGACATATAAAGGCAGTCTGAGTGGAAATGTTTTGAGTTGGGGGGGGGGTGTAACAGAATAGCATGGAACAACTGCAAACGTGCGAGCGATCACGTCTAGACACGCGGACGTTCTCACAGGTTTGTTCAGCCCGTTTGTGGCCCAGGAAGACAAATATTTACAATGAACAATAGTTAATCATTAATTTATCAGTTTAAAAAAGTACAGTGTGACATTATACATTTTATACCATTAAACACATTACGAGCAATACATTGATTCTGTAGGCCGTTCTGTGGTCTCCAGGGCGGTTGGTTTAATTCCCACTTCCAGCTGTGTGTGTGTGTGTTTGCATATTCTTTTTTGGGGGGACACGCATTTCCACAGGGGGCTCTGATGTTCACCGGCAGTACAATAACAGTTCACTTAAGTGAACTGCGATTTCTAAAACGCTTATAGTGTGTACATCTGTACCCCGTAATAGACCGACATCCCCTCCAGGGTGTCTCCTCTAATTCCTCGATTAGAATTCAGCCTGTGTGTCTCTAACCTTAAAACCATTTTTTCCTCTCCAATAAAATCTACACGGACAGTAAAAAATTTCATTTATTCAGCCAAAGAGATTACGAAAGCGATACAGACGGACTACCTTGCGCAAGACCGAAGGGCCTTGACCTGGCAACAATTTGGTTACAAGCTTAGCTCCTTCACATCTCCACAGGCTGCTGGCAAAGTTATGCACAAGCCTTCCTGGTGCACAAAAAGGCCCACACCGGCCAAAACATACAACATTTTCAATGGCCTTTTAGGTTTTGTAACTGTCAAACCGTAGAGAGACGGAATACGCAGGGTGGAGATTTCTTACATGTCCGAAAGACGCATTCGGCATTAACACTTACTGCCAGACTGCCCCCCACCTCCCATTTCTGGGTGGAGCTCTTACTGGATGTGTGAGAGTGCCTGCTAATAGGTAGAGATGAGATATCTGAGTAGACTTATTGTGATTAAAGAGGGATAACCCCCCAAATCCCCAAGCTAGCATGTGGGATTGCAGGCAGGCTTCACACGACACGACAGCTGAGCAGCAGACAGTGATTCTGTGAAAAAGGCATGACCATGAACCAGAGACGGCCCATTCCAGCTCTGCACGGGGGTCATGATGCTTCTAGCTCTCATCTTAAGCAAATATTCAGGGTAAACTGCTTAACCTGGGGGGGGGGAGGGGGCTGACACTAGAAGAAACCATTCAGAAAGATGCAAGATACTGACTTTGGTTTCCTAAACAAGGGGGTTTGCTATAACCAATGTAAAACTGTAATGTTAAGAGGGTTAACCATGGAATCCCCCCCCCCCCCACACAGAGTGCACATTTCCACATAGGCAAAATTTAAGACTACATATTTTCACTTTCATTAAAGTACCATAAGTATACTGCAGACTACAAATGGAAATTTCTGTCTGCTGACCAAATTCCTCTTTCGCCTGATATAGGTACAAAACAGGAGAATATTACAAAAATATTGTACAAAGCAAAAAAAAAAAAAATCAAAAACAAAACACCATGTTACTTTACTGTTGGTTTGAGTGGTTATATACTGGTGGACACATGGTCACTCACCCAGATAACCACCCTTGGATTTAAGGTTAAGGTTGGATTTAGTTTATCCTTTAGGGTGTTAAGTGTAATGGATGAATCCACAAACGCTGATCTGCCTCATGAGGAGAAACAACAGGGGGCGTAAATGAGGCCCAGAGATCCAGTGCGAGTCCTGCTTTGCGCCCAAACTAGCAGAACGACTGTACGCAGCAAATGGAGTCCACCTCTCCTCGGTCACACACACGCAGGGAGAGCAAACGACAATGTCAGTGGAAACCAGGCCGACTACAGACGTAGACTCCCAATGCTAGGGCAACACCAAGGCACATAGTGGCCAGTAGGGGGCTCAACAAGCGTGGCGGGCTGCCACTGTCCGACGGGTCCTGATCGCCCCTCTCCCGTCTCTGAGGTAGGGCCTCGTCATCTTCAGAGCTTGGCACTCTGAGTCCAGCATGGCTCTCTGTCACACCATCAGAAGCAGACGCGGAAACTCCAGCAACAGTTGTGGCGACTGAGGGGACGGTGGCCACATCAACGGCCTCAGCCAGTGCCCTCCTCCGCAGCTCGGGTTCAGGCATGGAGCTGTAGAGAGATACAAGCAAGCAGCATTCAGAGACCCTCAGAGCCAGCCGGTTCCCACTGGCCAGAGCCCCAAAACACCCTCAAGAAGCCAACACCCCCAGTGCAAACCCAGGTCAAATAACACAGCAGCCATCAGTCCACACCATGCATAATTCACGAGGAACCATTTCATTAGGAAACGCAGAACAATTACCGTACTCTACAGCAGGGGTGGCCAATCTTACCCCGCAAAGGGCCGGTGTGTTTGCAGCTTTTTGGGATAACCTTTAGGTCAGCTGTTCAAACCCAGGTGTGAGGACTCTTCAGCCAATCAACCCTCTAATTAGTAATCTAAGTTGGCAGTTATAGTGAAAAGGATAACATTGGCCATTCCTGCTCTACAGCAACTGCGTACTGATCCATTGTTTATTTTGGGTCTTTCCAAGAGTTTGTCAGCAGTGTGTTTAATTAAAACTGTTAATATCAAGTTAATACAAACAGGTAAAGTAAGACTCTTCAGATAAATAAACACTATGCAAACAGGTGCGGAATGGAACATTTGCCATTTTGAGTATAAGCTTCTGGTCCAGTGCTGGTGATCCCATTAGGGAGCACAGGCAGTAGCTTAAGGCGCCATCTCAACAAGCAAACTGCACTCTGTCTTGCCTAGGGCTCCACATGGGCTTCAACCAGCATGGCTCTGGTCTGCTGGCAGCCATCAAACCCCCCCACCTAAACCTCATAGCTGAAGAAGGCAAAGACTCCATATTGGTTATGGTCAAAAACATTACCCAGCCAATTAAATAAGGACATTCTAAAAGCAGACAGGTGTCTTACAGGTATCATATTTTTTAGGTTAATTATAATGGTATCGTTTCAGCAAGCAAACTCCATGAAAAAAAAAACATCTAAGGTATACCAACTGAAAGTGTGATTTGTTAATTTTACTTTGAAATATGGTTTGAAATAATGCATTAATGCTTCAAAGAAACTGCATGAGCATCAAGAGCAAGTGTTTCTAGAATGTTTATTTGCAATTAGTAAAATGCACAAAAGTTGCATTTAAAAGTGCATTTTCCACGGTCTGTACAACAGCCCACATAAAAGCAATGCAGTAATTTTAGTCTAATACACTCAGCCTGCATCTTACATGGTTTTCAAAAGTATAAAAAGAAATGCACAATGCAAAATTGGCACGCAAAGTCCGTAAGTGACTGCATAAGCACTGTGTAGATTAGTGTAGTTAGGGAATGGGGTGCTAGTAGAGTACTAATCTCAGTAGTATTTTGGCTAACATGCAGTGCTTTGCATGTGTGGCAGAACTTACACCTCTACGCTAGTTTTGTAGCTCTTTGTCTTCTACATGAGTAATGAAGAAAAAATGAAATGGGTATCAGAAATTGTAGTTTTAGCCAAAAAAAATATTTTCGCACATAACTTGTTTTGAATTGTCTTCTACAGAGCGGAAAGACTTGGTGAAAAGAAGGAAAAAAAGTCTCACTCTCTCTCTCTCTCACACACACACACACACACACACACACAAACACCTTACCCATTAGCTTGGGAATTGTGCTGTGCTTTGACATGCTCGTCACCCGGTCCTGGGAAAGGGAAGGATCCTGTTCTTGTACTGCTGGAGCGCTTTGGGGGCCGGGGAGGGGGGGGTGTCAACTCTGCTGGGGGGTCTTCCTCGTTTGAAAGTTCCCTCCATGATTCCTGTGCACAGACAACAGGAAATTTACAAAGACTGACTTCTAGTGGCCTAGGTGCATAAACAGCTTGCTGGTTCCCATATATGCCAGGCTGTCTCCATCAACAAGGTCCACCCATCCCATCTTCATAATCATTAATGCAATTAATGCCATTTATTTTTTTGATTATTGGACTAATCTAACAAATTTTTCGATTGAAATGATAAAATTTATTGATAAGCAATTATTTTCTAGTTAGTCATTTAATATAGCAATTCCCCCACACACAAATCTGAAATTCTTATTAACATTTCAATTTATTAAAACATTTCTTAAACAGAGCATTATTAACAAAAAAGGGAAATCTTAAGACATTCAATAGGATTTCTGTTAGACCGAAGTTAATAATCACTGCAATAGTTTTTACTTAATTATTTCAGCACACAAATTTGACTTTAATGTTGAAAGATGCTAAAACATGGAATGATTTCATAACTAGAGAAACATGTTTTTAACAAACACTAACAAAGGTAGCTTATAGTTAAGCTTCAGTGAGCAAGGAACAATTTAGGCTAGTGTGTAAGAGTAGTCGTAAACGATAATTTGTCTCACTCTTACATGACAGAATAAGTAAACAGAAAATATAAAACGTCTGAAATGCCACGTGTTTCTCCAGAGGCTCCGGAGCCAATTGTAGAAGGCGTCTCATTAAATATTTATGAGAGAAGTGCTACATGATTGGTCAGTGCATGAATTACAAAATAGTGTGGCACTGCTGGCACCGGCAATATTAAACAAAGCTATATTGGAATTCAGTCTATAATTGATATAGTTTTAACGGTTCCATCAGTGAAACAACTAGCCAGCTTATTAGTGGAACAACATTGTATTGTAAATGAAAACCATGCCGCGGGTGCAATAAATAAAATATTGTAGCTTTCGAGTAGTGAAGAGATTATCAAGTGGACAGTGAAGTTCAGTTACTAGCAGACTGTTTTATTGCGCAATTCTTAAAAGGACAGCATTAACATGCTTCCGAGGGGATAAAGTACTTTCCCTTACAATACGTTGCAGTTACAAAACATTCACGTAGTTTTACACAATGTGTCGACACTAAAATTCCACATCGACGCATTGCTATAATCGACATCGTCGATTACATCAAAAAATCGTCCCAGCTCTACTCGAGATGCTTGCTTAATTCAGTAAAAAATACAGACGCTCCTCAACTAATGACAGAATTCCATTCCTATGACCAGGTCGTTAAGCCAATTGGTCCATGAGAGAGTAGCCACCCTTTACCGATACTTTAAGTATGCTGTAATAGAGTGGGTTTGTGTAAAAGTGACTATTTATAACTTAAAAAATAATAATAGACTTTGATCCGTGCGGATCAATCTGCCCCCCCCCCAAACTTGCTTTATATAGTTGACAGCAACCTGTTTAAGGGCCTTGCTCAAGGACCTCCAGATGTGCTGATGCTTAGCTCGAACCGGTGACCTTCTGATCACAGGCACAGAGGCTTAGCTCACTGAGCGACATGCTGCCACTATACATTTATAGTATTTAATATATTTATAAATGTTTATACAGTAACGCACTGTATACTACAATACACAGAATAGAGGAAATCAGTTGTAATATACCTTACTTAGGTTTGCTTACAGGTAATCGTTCTTATTTATTCTGAAAAAAAAAAAAAAAAGTGTCCAAGGAAACTCCAACTTTATAACTTTGCATAACTGCTAGATGCAGAGCTGCCGTTTCCACGACCAAAGTTCTCATACAATGTACAATGCTGACTGGTCGGAGAGCTGGAAGTAAGTCTGGGCAATCATTAAAGAGGTAGGTTAAGTGAGGAGTGTCTGTATTGCAAATTTATTAATTTTATAACAAAAATCATTACTTAATTCTTTTACTTACAAAAATATCACAGGATATTACAAACCATCAGGAGTTTTAAGTAAGATTCATCCCAAAGTTTGATAAGCAGTCTTATTGGATGCTTTTTAATTATCAACACATTTACATTAACATAAAATGCCAAACATTTGTATTTAGCATCCATTGGGAACCAATGACTACAACGGTAATTACACTAATCCCCTGCCTATCGCGGAAGTTACGTTCCAGACTCATCAGCGATAGGTGAAAATCCGCGATATAGAATTACCATATAAATAAACATTAAAAAAAAAATATATAGTTTATGCATTAAAATACTCCTCCCACACGCTTTAAAAGCGATAGCTGAAAATCCACAATATAGAAAGACCATATAAATAAACATTTTTTTTTATAGTTAAAGCCTTAAATCGCAGGGCTTAAAGCGATAGCTGAAGCTCGATATAGCGGGGGATCACTGTAATAGCAAAATGGCAAGAACAGAACTGAATGAGTCAAATCAAAAAATATTATGACAATTAACAAAATGAAAATATTTGTGTGGAAGGAATGTGAAGATACGTTAAACACTGCTTGTAAATGGACTTTTGTTATAAAACCTGAAAACTTTGCTACAAAATTAAGTTTCCCAAGACTTTCTGTGAAAACCCATGTATGAAATATTATATTCTGAAGCTTTGAAAACCTTCAAAAGTTTACACATCAAACAATAAGAATGAGAGCAGCACTCCTCGCTGGCAACTCGTGTCAGGCAAGTGCCAGTTTAGCCAGCAGCTGCTGACCTGCACCGACGTGTCCCCAGAAATGACCCTGGCGCCCTCGATGACCGCCAGGTAGGAGAAGCGCAGCTGGTCGGCCGTCTGGATGAGGCCCATGCGGTACTGCCGCATCTCCAGGAGAACCTCCCGCACATACACAGAGGACGGGTCCTTGCGAAGGGACATCTGTGGGCACATCAAGCAAAAAAAGAACAGACTTAACATGCCTAAAAAGCCCCGTGGTCATCAAACGACCAGCTACTCATCTCCAAATAGCTGATCTGCTGGCGTTTGGGGGGACTATGGCCACCCCAGGAGCACAAGTAATATTTACCCTCATTGGTGGTTTTTCAGTTGGAGGAACCAGCTAAGTTCTCCCATGCAAACATCATAGTTATTTTATAAACCGTTTCAGACTACACCTGCATCCAGTCAAGGGTGTAGCTCAGTCATGCATCCTGAAGAGGCTTCAGATCCTCCCCCCATCAGGATAAACACTTGGATGACGTACAGCAGGATGGATATATCCAGTTAAGCAGTGAATTACTACACATGCTGAAGAACATATTAGTATAAAAGTATAAAATAATGTGATGAGCTCCCTGACCGATAAGCTGTAAGAAAAATGTTGAACGGATGGATTCTTATATGTTTGCATAATACTCAGGGGTGTAATGGTACACAAAATTCATGGTTAGGACTAAACTGTTGTTTTGGACTCACGGTTCGGTGCAATTTCAGTACAGCATGGAAAATAATAATAAGTTTCACAACAAATTTAACAATTAAAAACAGCTGTAAACCAAAGGCAATATGTCTATAGATATGCCTGAATAATAAAGTCCTAACAGATGCTCATATGAATATTGTAAACATAAATGTCAAATAAATGAAAAAAGTAACATAATCATACTGAACTAAATCCCATGTAAATCCTGTGTTTCCCCATGTTCAGTACTGCTGAGTATGATTGCACATATAAAGCGATAAACACTGTAAACTGGAACTGAAAAAAATGTTTTGAAAATGGTACAACAGAATGTTGAAAAAAAATCTATATTTTTGTGAATGCCTATTTGATCAGCTAAAAGGAATCCGTCTCCTTAAGCTCAATGTTGACAGCGGTGACATTACACTAGTGGTGTGTGTGACGTTGCAGTGAACAACTGTGACTGAAGTGACTCGAGAGCAACAGCAGAGAGGTGGTACACCTGAAATGGCAGCAGTATAAAGTGGAGTCCCTAAACACAGGAGAACCGCTGTGCAAACGCCCTTTTAAAGGACGTGCTGCAAAGGGAGGCAACGCATTTAACCTGGCCATCCATCTATGTGACACCCATCCTAACCTTTTCAAGGAATTCAAAGATCGACAGGTGATAGTTGACTAGTTCACTCCCCTGTTATGTCCATGAAAGAAATCAGTGTTCAAAAACCCTCTCCATAGCGGTAATATACATATTCATACATAGTCTACAGTGATGAAAACCATGCAGGTCCATTTCATTAGCAACCTGAACTCGCCACACAATTTAACCAGACTGACTCGAATTGCTGATTAATAAAATACAAAATGATGCCTGACATGCTTTTTTGACTAGTATGCTTAAATTTTATTTTTAAAGTGACCTTAGATGACTAGATATTGTCTGAACTAAAGCACGAAAATGACATTTAAGAATTTCCCTTTTTTTTGAAGGAAAAAAAAAAAAATGAAGATTATCCATATCAAAGCTATTTAGGTGTTGTGCAACATTAACAGCTCTAATTATGATTTTAGCTCAGTCTGAATTTCCTGGCAAAATTCCACAGGGAGATTATCTTGCAAAGGCACTTTCTGTCCTGCTCTTTTCGTACACACAATTAGATGATAGTCTCAAACAAGTTGGCACACTGGATGGATTTCCAGCAGCACAGCAAACTTCGGTATAATAGAGCTGACTGAGGGCGCCTTTCCACTGGACCAGGTACCAAACGCTTGGTACGAAAAATTGGTATTGCTCTTTTTCCATTAATTTCAGGTCCAGTACCAGTACCAAAGTACCAAACCACTTGCATTTGCTCAAAATCATTTCTATGGAATCCAAAATATTTCCATACACATTTTGTTCACTTTTCTCCACACTACAGACTGCAAAAAACAAAAATCATTAAAAAAAAAAAAAAAGTTTTGTTTCCTATCACAGAGTTAAAATGTTTTGGTGCTACCTAAACACCCCTCATGTGAGAACTGCATGTGCATAACATGTTATGTCGATTAGGGCTGCCACTAATGCCTATTTTACTGTGGATTCATCTATAGACTTTTACCAATTGAACGGTTAATCTAAATGATTAATTTTCCTCTAGAAAAATCAAAATTACTGTTTAAGTTAAGTTAATTTTATTTTGACAACATACTGTGCCATTGCAGGGCTTTAGATGATGGACGTCAGCTTTTCAGCACCACATGGACGTCATTTATTGTCACCCACAATTCAATAAGTAGATTAGTAATCTAAAATATTAATGAGAAGTGTATTGTGCTGCCCAAAATTTGTAATCTGTATAAATTCAGTGTATTTTTATGTCTATAAAATTCAGTTAGTGGAACACTCCATATGGTACCGTTTTGGTAAATCATGAAAGCAATAAACACTGAAGTGGCGGTGAAGAAAGGGACAGCTCAGCAACCACAACATCTTTTTAAAGAGGAGATACAGTGGATAAATAAGGTAAAAAGGTGGTGGTGGTACGTTTTGCTGATTTAAAGTCCAACACGTTTTTATTGATAAATATAGTTTTTATTTTGGTTCTTTTAGTTACTGTCCGTTTTAGTTTCAGCTTTACTTTATCATAGCACTGGTTCCACAAAGCCCAACACACACAAACACACACACCACCCAGATTCTAGTCTAAATATTTTCTGAATCACTTATTCAATGGAGATTCTAAAGTAGCAGGCAGAGAATATTATCGCTTTAATAATGAGTGTATTTAGTAGGTACAATAAAGGATATTAAAAAGCTCCCCGTATTAATGGTAATTTAATAGACATGAACAGACAACACTTAGGTGGTTTTGCGTACTCTGGCTGTCTATCACCCACAATAGCACCCGTGTGTTTTCCCTTCAGATGCTCGTGCATAGCAGTAGTGCTGTCGTGGTATGCTATCGAAACTTTGCAGTGTACAAACCACCTTTTTGTTTAGTGATAATTTGAAGTACTCCCATAATTACATAGTGATATTAAAAGGAAAACATTTGTTATAATGAATTGAAGTGTGTTAGAAACCATAAAGGTAATTTTGTTAAAATACAGTGGTACCTCAGTTCTCGAACTCATTAGAACTCGAATTTCTTAAAAGTCGAACCAACCAGTTCAGAAAAAAAAAAAAAACCTAGAACGTGATCTGAATCTCAGAAGTCAAACCGTGAACGACGACCTAAGAACTTGTACAGTACGCGTGGGGAAATGAGTCACGCGGCACATCTCTCAGCGGAAACAAAGGGTAACGCTTCAGACTCAGCCACGCATTCGCTGTGATAACATCGTGCATGTTTACACTAGCTGAATACATATATTTAGACAGTAAAAATACATTTAGACAATGATAGACAGTAACAGTAATTATTATTATATAATAAAATACATTTAAAAATAAAGATTTCTTATTAATTATTTTAATATGAGTAATAAACCAATAATACGTTTAATTATAATAATATTGTCGTGCCGAGCGGGGACGGAATGGAGACAAAGGCGCAGATGTCAAGGTATCGGGGAATACGGGGTTTAATTACAGGTAAGGCAGGCAAAACGCAGACGGACAATACAATGACCGGACTGGGGAAACAAACTGAAACGTGGACTAAATACAGAGGACTAATGACAACAACCGGAAACAGCTGATCACATGGGAATTCCACATTGGGTTAACGAGGGGGCGTGGCACACGGAAGGAGCGGACGATCGGGGCAGGACACATTGTTTTTTTTAAACTTTACACATTGTTTGGATACAATTATTTCCTTACTTTACAAATTACTGTTTTGATAAATGTGCTTAGATGTGTTTAGTACAGTATATGCTCTTCTTGTTTTATCCGGTTCATTTTGTGTTTAAAGAAAACATATTTACACCTAAACATATTTAGGTGTAATTTTTTGGGGCCGGGAAGCAATTAATTGGTTTTCCATTATTTCTTATGGGGAAAATTCGATCACAACTCGAACTTTTTAGTATTCGTTCTGAACTGATTAAATTCGAGTTCTGAGGTACCACTGTACATTTTAAAAAACAATCTAGTCATTCAAAATATTGATGCGGACGTGTTTTCAGTGTTGACGTCAACCATTTTGACTAATAGCAGCAGCCCTAATGTCGATATTAATATTGCACATCATCAAGCACTAATATATACAGTAAAATATACTATAATTACTCTATTATAATAGTTTGGTACAAAACACAAGTAGCAACATTCACTTTGGTACCCGTTTTGAAGTACTAAAAGGTACCTGGGCAGTGGAAAAGCACCCAGACAGTCTTGGTCTTATCAACTACTCTCTGTAGTGTTGATGTAATTTACAGGGAAACCAAAATGTTCCTAAACCAGCGATTACGAGCAACTGTAACCAACGTAACTATCTAGCATTAGCATAATGTTTTCCGTGTTGAACATCTGCTTGTTAATTTAGAATGTCAAGAAATGTATTTCATTTGCTTCATTATGTGTAGTGTACTGAAAATGATTTATTGAATGGTACCCGATAAACATGCCTACCGTTACAGCCCTAATGATAAGTATAAAAACAGTACAACTATAGTATCGGTTAACCAAATTCAAATGATTATGGTTGTGTATTAGGGCTACAACCATCGTTCTGGAGTTCACCCTGTCATCTGGTAATATCTGAAATCCTCACACAGCGGTTTTCTGGAGGATAACATCCACTTAACTAGTTTTGACAATAAAATCCATTGAAATTAGGGAATTTCAAAATCTACCAACTGATTTGATTATTTTAATCTTCTCTGCTACTGTTCTAAGGAAAAAAACTGAATACTGGCAAGAATAAATTAAGTTTGGCACACAAAATCAATATGAAATGAAAACTCAGGCTCGGTACTTACCAAGAGCAGGCAGGTGTCGACAAGGCAGAAAGTTCCTGAGCGGCCAATCCCAGCGCTGCAGTGGACCACCACAGGACCATGGTCAGAGTTTAGGCACCCTGACTCTCTGACTTTGAAGAGGAAGTTAAGGAAGGAGGCAGGAGACTCCGGTACTCCAAAGTCAGGCCAAGTCGTGTAGTGGAAATGCAGGATCTCTCTGGTCTCCTGAGTCTTTGAAGAACCAAGGTAAGTGACATCATCACTGGGTATGCACGAGGGATTGAGGGCAATATGCAATACTTTAAGGCAAATTTTGGGGCTACAAGATCCATTTGTTCCAGAAATTCCTCTACTAGCCTATACTGCTCCATATTCCCTGAATGCTCTTCATGTTGCATGTTCTGCTGATTTGAATAATTGTCTAATGACGTTCTTGCTTTGTTGGAAGATGTTGTGTAGCTCTTGCTCCTATACTGCTTACACGTCCAACTGGCCATGGAAAGCTCATTGAAGCTGCATTTATACTTATCTCCCTGACAGCCGTATATTTGTAATGGTCTGTCTCACATGTACATTGCTTTGGATGGAAGAGTCAACAAAATTGAGCAAAAATAAAAGTAAATAGATTCAGGAGGACAAACAACCAAGAACATCTGCAACTCTGTGTGCAGCGGAATGTTCAGGGGTCTTTATCACAAAGCTGGTTTAATAAAGTCTGGCTTCAAAGATAAGTTCTAGTGTAAATAAAACAAACAAATGCAATCTGAGATTAGCAGCATCATGATGCTTTTCAGCAATCTATGTCAAGCCAGGATTTCTTACCGAAACCATGATTATTTCCCCAAGCGCATGCATATAAAAGCCTGCTGTGCCCAACAATCAACCAATCATGTAAGCATAAATCGCAACAGGGCTACATATTTTAATGCAGCAGCAAAGAGAATTATTATGGTAAAATATGAATAATTCAATAATGGTGAAGAGCAACACCACAGCTGCAGCCAAAGCCCAAAAAATACAGTGCAGCAGATCGCTGAAAGGGAAGATCCATACATACAATTCAATTGTCGTGAAGATGCAGTAATTGTCTTAATTCCCAAATATGCGCTTCTTGATTATTCTTTGTCTTCTTTTTCACAATACTTTTATAGGTTCTGTGTTCACAAGAACAAAACTTCTTATCCAGCCTCTTTCATTCCTTTGTTGCTGCTTTATTTAAGCAATTTGTTTCAAAATGAAATGAGGTGTAGATCTTCAATCCATGTTTTTGTGAAATGGTAATAAGATAAAATATATACTTTTTGACTTAATTGAAGAAAAAAAAATGGACCTTTTGAAATTCAGAAGATCAAATGTCAACTGTGGTTGCCCTTCCCTTTGCTGCCACTAAGTGGCATTGCTTCAATTTTGGGGCAATTTGCCACAAAAGTTGATCAATTCAAGTTCCTCAGCCATACAATGGGTCTGCAAAGTTTGAAGAAGATCCTTCAAAGACAACGAGTTACATTTTATTGTATTCCCCATCTAGGGAATACAATAAACTATAGCCAAATTGAATTTATCTACCAATAGATTCTGAAATAAATAATTATTGCAGGAATACAACGATTCAACAGTGACAAATAGGAGTCCTGCAGTCAGCGGGTTAACAAAATTGTCTCCATGCATTTGATTGGTTAATAATTTTTTAATCAGTATAAATTAGTGCTGGGGAAATAAATGCGTTAATTTTTGTGATTAATTTGAACATCTTGACGCGTTAAAAAAAAATTGATGTGACTGACGAATTCTCCTTTAGTTATTTCCTGTGAAGTACCAAGAATTTGCTCACTTATTAATCATTTGCTTACGCTAGTTACGGAGGCAAGGAATTTTTTTAGGTGGAAAGTTCTACTTTAAAACGTTACCATGCAGATGGTACTTTAGAAAAAACGAAAGTAATATGTTCAATTTGCAAAGCTAAATTTAGTTATCATCATAGTAATTCATCACTGGCCTATCATCTGAGAGCGAAACACCTGAGTGAAGTTTCCGAGACATCAAGCACTCTTCATCAGTTCACTTTGTTTGAGTGTGCTACTCGAAGCAGACCTTTGGCGAAAGAAACTATACTGTAATGATAAAGTAAGGGGGGTTAGGCTAAATGGATAGCTAGAAACTGTTGCCCCGTTAACACAGCAGAAGACAAGGAACTGAAAGAAGTAATTTGAGTTGCGTCAGGAGATTCATTTTATAATCTGCCATACAGAAGAACTATTACAGTAAAATCCCGTTATAGTGGACTTCCTTAAAACAGAATATCGTCTAAAACGGACGAGGTCCACTGATCCCGGCCGGGCGCCTTTACGAACATGCAGAAAAAGCATCGGATATAGCGGACTCGCATATAACAGAATTTCACTTATACGGGACAAACAATTTGGTCCCCATGGCCGCTTTTAGCTGTAGTTTTGTTCGGCTATGACGGACATGCAGCTCCGCCTATAAAGCGCCTGGCGTGCCGGTGATAGGCCTATCCAGTGCAGATACGTAGTTGGGATTATTAATAGTCACGCATCTGGTCAGGTAAAGTTGGATTACTACATGTACAATATAATAATCTATAACACAAGTGTGTCTGCTGGGGTGTGGCATGAGTAAATGGTGTCCTGTAGTTGTGTTTTGGGCATACAGCATCTCTGGATATAACGGACTGTTTTGCCAGGTCCCTTGAAGTCCGTTATAACGAGATTTTACCGTATGTCTAGAATTATCACTCCATATGAGAACGATAGGGCACTGAAAATGTGCATGTTAGAGAGAGCTCAGTACGTTGCCCTAACTGGGGATCATTGGACATCTGTAAGTAATGATAACTACCTTGGTGTCACCGTACAATTTATTGATGAAGAGTGGAATCTATTGTTATTTGCATAAACTGTGAGCAAAACTACTGTACGTAAAAGTAAAATGGTGACTGTTCAGGATTACAATAGCTGATCTGATGAGAGATTAGTTTTAAGTTTCAACTGCTATGTTTATGGAAACAAATTTAATTGTGTGTTTTGATGGGTAATACAATGGCATCTCTTCTCAGTGAAATCTGTTTATCTAGTTATAACTCAGCTTGATACTTGTTTGCAACAAGTGTAAGTAAAGAATTTTTGTTTTTCCACAGGTTAATTCATTAAAATGTAAAATCTAAAATATGATGCTCCTGGGTTTATGTTACAGAAAATGTATATATTATTCAGTTGTTATTGTGTAACTTTACATTTGTAAATGTTAAGAATTTTCAGAATCAGAATAAGCTTTATCAGAATATTAATCATGTTTAATATTTATCAGTGCGATTAATCATGATTAAATACAGAAAACTCTGATTAATTAGTTTTTTTTTTTTCTAATCGATGCACAGCCATAGTATAAATATATTGATTGTGTTATCTTCTAAATTTTGAATCCATGTTGTTCTGAATCCAGTGCTGGAGAAAAGAAACCACAGAACCAAGATGCCAGAATACTTACAGATAAATTCTCCAATTCCAAATGTCGGACGGTGTAGTACGACTTCACGTTCTCGGATACCAGAGTTAGCTTGAAGTTTGTGTCCTCAAAGACCATTTCCCTGTTAGCATGAGAAGGCCAATACTGAGCACACTTCACCTGAACAAGAAAAAAAAAAAAAAAAAAGCTTCATTCAGCATAAACCCAAGTCCATTGATCTTCTACAGCCTTCAATAAACAATGAAATCATTTTTATATCAAGAAGGACTTTCAGATCTTTATGTAGACTCAATGCACTGAAAACTGGGGCAAGAGTGTTTTTTTTTTTTAATATAAAACAGAATTATTTAGACAGTCCAAATCAAAGGCACACATTTATTTAGAAGAATATGAGCATGCGGAAGTTGACATGCAGAGGCGTGAGTTTGTGCCACAGGGCGGCCTGCCGACTATCACAAAGCCTGCGTCAGCATAGCTTCAGCACTGGCTGCCTGGTAGAAACACTGTCAGTTTTAACCTATATGATACCACTGTTTCCAGTAAGCCACCTGGTCAGATCTCTCCAAGCGAACACATAAGCCTGTATTCGTTTTATACAAAAAAAAAATTAAATGCTGCAACAATTATTTATAAAAGTATCAGGTACAGAACAATACACTCAGTTTTTTGGGTATGCACGATGATGTAGGCCATTATGTGCATTTCTTATAATGCTGATATATTTTAATGTATTTTTTATTGCAAATAATTCTAAAATTGTATATAGATGTGCTTGGACTGACTAGATATGCACACAAATTGCATCAGGACCTGATAAGATAGGACAAAGACTGTAGAATTCTTTCAAGACAGCTAAATGCTTTTTCAATGGTGTTTAAATTTTGGCATTGACAATGAAAGCGGCAGTACTCACAGAGCCCTTCTCCACAACACGGTTCAGCATGACCACGCCACGGCTCTGCTGCTCCCACACCATCTCCCAAAAGTGCCCGCAGGTGTTTGGCAAAGGACCCTGATTGAGTGATTGGGATGATCCAAAGGAGGAAGGTAGAAAGGGGGGGGGAGGGGGTGTCAGAAACCCTCTCATTTCCTTCTATTCATTATTAAAATCAACAAATTTGCTTGACAATGTGCCATTTCAATGTAAATGGTTCCTTTACCTCATTTTTTTGGTCAACTGCTCTAAAACAAATCACAATAGTGGCATAAAAAACAATCGTAACTGCAGAATTGCTTTTATAGTACAGGTTTGGGCTGGCATTCAGGGAAGGGACCGTAACATCCTATAACAAGCAGGGGCACGATGCGACAAGGTATGAACAGAAATTCCACAGCAGTGAAGCACACATACCAAGGCAAAGAGTGATATCCCTAGTATCAGTACCATTCCATGCTTTCAAATTTGCTTAGTGCCTTCCAGAATGATTAAGCGAATAATCACTATGATAATCAAACATTTATGTAGTTTCTTTAACCTGAAGATTGAGACTTCATGTTTCCAAAATGTTTCTACAAATTAGGAATTTTTAGGTGCAACAAGCAAATGGGAATGTAACTGCAGCTGTCGGTCAACAGATGAAAAGATTTGAAAAGGCTAAGAAAAGCTTCATGCCACTTTCTCCATCAATGACAACTGATATACTTCCAAAATTAATACTTTCATAATGCTCTTGCCCTTCACCTACTCTGACAAGAATACTGAGCATGTCTTGCACATAAAAGATTCTAGGATCTCAGACCGTTATATACTCAGTGCACATAATTTACAGACCTTACCCATTATACTGGACCAAACTAACGCATTTTACCATTTTTAATCGTGCTGTAAACCACATAAAATCCAATAAACAATGGTCTGTTTCTGGTCTAGAATGCTTTTCTAAAGATTTTGCTGATGTCCTAAAGATCAAGGATGGAAGGTCGAAGATTCTTGGAGATCGTTGTAGAGGGTTGGGATGCAAACCTTACGTATATACACCAGGTTCTATCCGACATCTCCACATGGACCACAACTGTTTTCACATTGAGAGATAGCTAGCTACCACTAAAATTAAATCAATATAAAATAACAAAGAAAAAACAGAAATAACAAAAACAAGAACACTAAGAAAAATCCATAACAGGAGAAATAAACATGCCTCACCTGTGTCAAGATATAGCTTCTTTGGGTCTCCTGCACTGAAATTAAGCTGGCATTGATGTAGTCATTAGTTCCTAACTGCAGACATATTCTACTGTGATCAACTGAAAGGAAAAGAATAATTTCTATTATTTCTTTAGTAGATGGCTGTACACAATGCGATTTCCCTTAGCATGTGACGTAATGAATGATGCACAAAGGGAATGGCAAATACACAGTATGTTATTCCAATTTCCTTAGGCTAAAGCACATTAAAAAGGCTGTGTCAATTCAGTAAAAATAAAAAAATAAATAAAAATGATCAATAGTTCTTCTCATTCCACTAATGGGGTTAAATAAAACTACATTCAGAACAGGCTAAGCCTCTGTCCATTATCAGAAGGTTGCTGGTTCAAGCCTGAAGTTGGCAGAACAGCAATGGTCTGGGGGCCCTTGAGTAAGCTTAGGCCCCAGCTCCACGGGGGTGGCTGCAGGTAGCTGTCCTTCACCGGCAAGCTTGCTCTCACCTACATAAGGATCTGTACAGTATATCATGGAGAACAAGATGGGGTAGGCGAAAAGAGACCTTCCCTAGTGGGATCAATAAAGTGTTATTATTATTATTATTATTGAAAAAGTGAACCAATATTATTACATGCCAAATATAAAATTCCTATTTTATATATTTTATAGTGTCTTCTTCCTCAAAATACTGAAATTCCCCACACCCTCATCAATGGCACCTGGGATAGTCTACCAAGAAATTGACAGTGATTTATTAAACCCACATATTTAATTCTGGCATCCACTCAAGACTTCATGGACTCTAAGCCACAATAAGCTAACATTTGCTCAAAGGGGCCATTTCTCAATGGGGCTCAAAGAGGCCATGGAACAGGTGTGACCTGACCACCGTGATCAACATTTAAATATATGTTAACCAAAGATTAACATGATCAGAAAAAGGCCCAGGACTATAGCTAAGGGAACCAACTAAACTTTAAGTGTGGCTGTAGGGGGCTCTATAGTCTTTACAGCAGAATCACATGGGCTCAAATAGCTTCACTATGTTTTCTTGAGCCTACAGCTAATGTAGCCCATCAGACACCCTGCTAAATTATCCCAACTGTGTATATTTTTTAATACCTCAGAAATTAGAAAACAGATTCCAATGTAATACTCACAGGGGCTGACATCTCTGTAGCGATTCCTGGTTTTGTTTTCAGGTAGTCTGGCAACGGCACATGGAAACTCAGTTGACTGATCACGGATTTCCTAAAGAAGAAGAATGAATGATAAACAATATTTACACATTTTCATTCAATCTAGAAACTGGCAATATCAGCCCTTGAGAAACAGGGAAACATTTAGGCCTCTGAGGCAAGAACTAGATGTGTGCGAGTTTATGACAGTCAATACTGGTTGGTATTCGATCTCTGAAGTTTTCATTGGCAGTATATGCAATAATGAAAAGCAAAGCCCTCTCCAATTATTTAACAAGTGTTAACCAGTAAACTATTCTGACTTTTAATCTATTATGTACTTAACTGTTAAAAGGTTTACCAAGATCGCTGCATATAAATTATGAATTTACAGACATCTCTATGACCTTAACTCTCACCAGGAGAACAGAAAATTAGACTAAATTTATTCGCATGGCTGTTTTACTAAGACTTTACCAAACAGAACATTTTGGGGAGAATAATTTTTTTCACTTTTATTTTAGTAGTAATAGCATTAGTAGCAGATTAGGGCTGTTTCAGTTTCCATAAACAAATTACATAAAAAACACACACCCAACTGCCTAGTTGTGACTGTGATTAAGAAATTTCGAACTGCTCTATAGTCTTTACAGAAGAATCACATGGGCTCAAATAGCTTCACTGTTTTACAAAATGCTTAATTTAACATTTCATGGTCAATAAAAAATGCCACTGTTCAAAGTCCTTATGCAATGTAATTAAAACGGTCAGTCAACTGTAAACTTTATTAATATGTAATTATAACAGACATGCGGATCTATTTGCATTAATCGATTACGCAAGATCTCATACACAAATACACTAGCGGACCTCGATTCACCTGAACATAACATGTCTTTAGGCTGGTTATTTGGGAAAAACCCGAGTTTGAACGTAAGAAATAAACAAAATGGCGCTGTCAAAAATAATTAAGAGCTATATAGTGATATCGGGGAAGGAACGATCGGCTTAAAAACACGCCACACCCACGCAAGCATGCCACGGGAGCACGTTATCATATCTGTATTGCAATGCTTAATGTATTACTGGCCATGACTTGTTGCAGATCACGAAGAAACGTGGACAACCAACTTCATTTTTAGCTAGACGATCTCGACTGGGCACGTACTACCAAAGTGTCTGATTAAAATGACCATCCCTAACACAAGCAGATATATTTATGCAACGCAAAACGAATAGTTACAAGGTAACATGGAATTTACATGTGTTTATGCTGTAGGTCAACTACCTAAGCAAAACAGATGTCATTTTAACTAACAGAAATGAATTACGCTTTCCCGGGTAATTCGTATTATCAGTCAGTGCCCATTGATTATACCTACATTGGCATATACCACGCCAGCATGGCAACTAAACCACACCGCACTGATCGCCGCCTCACACAACTTTAACGAGGCGTATTAACCAGCTCGTTCCGGGTTACTAGTAACTGGTAACAATGGCCGTGGAATCGCTTACAAAATACACACATAAATCGGAGCTTTTAAAAATAAGTGCTTACAGCAGCTGACCGGGGCTGACAGCTGCACCGGACTTAAATATAGCCTTAATGCTGGCCGAGTATTTAGATCTACATAATCAGTACTAGATAGACGGACAGATGGACAGAGTACCTGGAAGATGACATTCCAGCTGCCATGTTCGTCGATCTCCCGAAATTCGGCCTCCACCGCCGCTTCCATGCTCACCCTACCCGTGTGTGACCTCCTCCCTTTAGTAGATTAAAATACAATTCATGCAAAAGTACGTGCTTTCCGCGTGCATGGTGTGCCTGATCGCCAGAGGAGATTTCCTAGTGAGATACTCGTTCACAGTGTCACACAGTCCCAGCGAAACCATATGAACCCTTTAAAATTCGCGTTTTAATTGGGTGTAACGGGAAGATCTGCGTCCTCATTGGTCTGAACAATGGGCTGGGCTTGGCGGTATAACAGTAACGTATCAAAGGGAGATCAGCAGGGCTTTCTGGTAGTAACAGATCAGAAATTAAAATATTTGCATACACGCAACCGAATGCAGCACTGCATATTTGGTGTGAAGCTTTTTAAATGCAGAAGAAGCAAGAACATCTGAAGCCAACAAATCTGCAAATCATGATGTCCAAAAATGTTTACAATTTTTCTGCTTTTAAATTACTCTATATAATTTAAGAATTATGTCACTGCCCATAGAAAAATATTCCAACCCATGTGAGAAATATTAAAATTGGCATAATTTTACGCAATGTTATTTCTATTTAGATACGTTCCACATGAAAAAATACCAAAATACATACAAATTTGTTGGTACCCTTACAGCTCATTGAAACAATGCTTCATTTCTCCTGAAAAGTAGTTCACTTAAAAGTAATTGTCTATTGTATACCTGCATGAATTTAGTATGTGATAGAAAAAAACTATAAAATTGTGAAAATAAATTACTTATTGTTTATTTTACAAAAATATGCTAAAATAGTATGGACAGTTTTGTTAGTACTCCTAAAAAGATTATTTATCCTTGCATTATAGTCATGTTTCAAACTAAGTGTTTAACCTTAATTCGTATCACAGGTGCCTGCAAGTTTTTCATCAGCCATTCAGCCTATTTAAAGGGAAAGAACATGCTACTGTGTTGTTTGGTATCACTGTGTGCACCACACTGAACATGGACCAGAGAAAGCAAAGGAGAGCGCTGTCTGAGGAGCTCAGAAAGAAGATTATAGATAACCATGTTAAAGGTAAAGGCTATAAGAACATCTCCGAGTAGCTTCATGTTTCTGTGAGCACAGTTGCCAACCACAGCACTCAAAAATAACTGAGAAAAAAAAACACTGGACTATTCTTAAGTGATCCACCATGAGCCCAGGTATTATTCCTATTGAACATCTATGGAAAGATTTGAAAATTGCACTGTGGAGATGCCACCCTTCAAACCTGAGACAGATTAAGCAGTTTGCTCAGGAAGAGTGGGCCAAACTACCTGTTAGCAAATGCAGGCATCTCACTGTGAAGTACAGAGATCGCTTGTTGGCGGTGATTGCTGCAAAAGGTGGTGCCACAAAATATTTAATGGTACCATCTATTTTTGTCTGTGCCATTTTCATTTGTTTTTTTTTTTTGTGGATGGGTACCAACAAATTTGTCCATGTCTGTATATATCAGCCAGATGCATGGCTTTCATAAAATGGATGGAGAACCTTAAATGATTCAGGGGGTCCGTATGTGAGCCTCTGGAACATTCCAGATACCTTGGAGTGGGGTCCGGTGTCTTGAGACCCGGCCCCAAAGTATCCCAGCCCTCTGTCTCATCTCATTATGTTAGAGACGGTGCATATCACAAAACACACTTCTCTCTCTTGGAACGGGTTGCATGACAATATCACAATCAAAAATTAAGCAGAGCAATCCTTCTTTGCTGACCCAACTAACAAAACCCAGCATTGCCCTAATAATTTTATAGAATATTCCCAAAAGGCACCATTGCATTTTCCTTTGCTCTTTGATTTGGCATTTAATACACATAAAATCTACAGAAAAGGTCATAACCTGCAGTCCTCTCCCTATTGATTCAATTCCCATTCTAAAGCCAAAACCAATTACCATTTCTATTCCTGAGTTGTCATTCTGGTCATCAAACAATTATATAATTATTAGACCTCAAATTCTCCCAACCAAATGATACAAATATACATCTGAACTGCGCTTACTGTTATTTGTATACAACTTAGTGTCTATAATTTTTAATCATATAAATATATTCAAAACTGCAATATCAGTTGAAAGTTTGAGTTTCCTTGCGGGAAATTCTATTTTGTGTTTTACATTCTATATAATGTTTCTTGAGAATGAAAGCACAATTTGTTTACAATATATAAAAAATTGTGCATCATAAAAGTGATTGAAAAATAGAAAATAGTCCCCCCATGCACTGGAAACCTCAACATAGCCACAGTATTAGCTTCACAAATATTTGGTTAAGGAATTTCAGGATGAAATAACCAAGAAAGTTGGGAATAGGGTGTAAGTGGGTTGCTGTCTTTGGCTCTTTTGTACAGACTGGGGTCTGGAGACATGGGAACCTACGTCATTATTCTGAGTTATCCTTCACTCTCCATTTTCACAAGATAAATACTGCATAATTCCAAGAGGTGTTTTGGGTTATCTTGCTGCAGTATGAAGGACTGTGCAAGCAGACATAACCCTGTTGAAATGACATGCCTTTGAAGTATGCTATGACATGCTGGTGGAGATCTGCAATGTGATGCTTACCATCTCTGTGTTGTGATAATCATCCCCTGACCAAACAATTCCAGACCACGTCACCATGCCTGACAGTGGGTACCAGAGTTTCAGATCTAATGCATGCATCCTTTGTGTGCTTTACTTATACAGACTAATCAGTAGACTGGTTTCTATTCCTGGTGGTAGACAAGTGTATTTAAAGTTAAGATATTTATGTTTTATGGAGGGAAACTCAAACTTTTCATTACTACTGCATATTTTCATAATGCATCACAAAATATTTTGGTCACATACTTTGGTTGTACCTTAGATATGAATTATTAGTGTGAGCATTGTTAAAATGGGACACTTTCTGAAAATTTGCTTCCTGCAAAAATGTACAGAATCACCTCCATGCCTTCAAGATTCAAGAGTCAAGACTCTTTATTTGTCACATACACAGTTACACTAGTACAATGTGTAGTGAAATGTGCCCTGATTCGGTCCTGAATCCCAACTTGATACTGTTCTAATGACATTAATGCTCTATGAACACTATTTAGAAAAGAAAATAAAGTATCACTAAACACATATATTAACTGCAACGTTTAACTAACATTAAATAAATAAAACAAATCCTACAATCAAGTCTATAGCCTTCAGATCAGTTTTATTTGCATTTCCATTCCCAACCTGCAGGGGTCCCCCCAAACTACAGGTCACTACAAACAAAGTGTGGGGCCCTGCGACTGACTGGTATTCCATCCAGGGCGGTTCCCTGTGCCCTGCTCCATAGGACAGGTACCCTGCAGAAGATGAGCAGCTGGAAGGTGAATTGATGGATCATGAAAACCTGGTAAAATTGGAATTTAGACATTCAGAACAGTGACACATAAAAAAACAATGAAAAAAGAAACCGCCCACCCATCTAACTTCCAGCTGCTTATTCTGCTCCAGATTGTGTGGGGAAAAAGAAATAAAAATGCTTTTTTATTATTTATTTCCTCGTTGTTTTCAGCGTCAGTCCCACAGAACTGCAGTGGCAATATCCTTATTAGTGTAGAAAGCAGGAACCCTGAGAATGTAAAAGGTAACAAACATGGACTTAATACTCTCTGTGTTTTAAGAGGGAGAGAGAAAAAAATGCATGTAATTACTCCCCTTCAGTCTCCTCTCATAATTATTTCTTTCCAAATTAAACAGCCTCCCATTTTTCGCACTAGATAGCAGACTTCCTCTTTAAGAAGACGATTTCTGTGAATCACACACCTTGGATATAATTATGAATGTTCATCTCAACATAATGCTTACAATTACGTTACCTCAAGGAGGAAAATGGTACTTTCAGTTTATTGTATTCATGTCAAGATAAGTGTCTGATGCATGTTCAGTGATAATGACTTTAGAGAATTTTTTTATATTTTTATTTGTAATAAAGAATTAGACTGAGTCTGCATTTGTTGTATTTATCCCCACAAGCATAGTATTTCTTTAGTTATTCAGGCTAGTTTTATAATCTGCTATCTGTAAATTTCTAATATATTCTTCTGAGATGAATCAGCAGGTAAAATGTCTAGGTATTCAGATCATATTTCAGGTAGTCACAGAAATCCTGTACCAATAGATTTGACTCACTGTGGCAAGTGTGAACAACAGATACCGCAGCCCAGCATTCCTTTGGTATTAATATAAAATTCCACTGGGAACATTATGGGATCCTGTGTCATTATCAATAGTGGAAAGAGTACAAGAATAATCAGTAAATACCTTTTTTGGATTTAGATAAACTCCCATTCTGCAAATGTAAATGTGGGCAGCAGTGGCTTGATGGTTAGGGAAGCGCACTTGTAATTGAAAGATTGCTGGTTTGAATCCCTGACCAGCAAGACTCCACTGAGGTACCCTGAGCAAGGTACTGCCCCCAAGAACTGCTCCCCAGGCGCTGAATTAGCTGCCCCCATTATGTCACATATGGGTTAAGTGCAGAGGGCACATTTCACTGTGGTGTGTCAACAATGACCTTTGATCACCAAAATGTTTGTGAGTGCCACCTTTTCTGACTAATACTCAGTCCTGGGGTGGCACAGTGGCTCAACCTCCTTCCTCCAGGGTTGCAGGTCCTGCCTCTGACTCTCTGCCTGCTTCATGGGGGGGTTTCTCCTTGGTCTCCTCCCACAGTCCAGCAACATGCAATTAGATGAATTGGTGTGTATGACTTTCCAGGGTTCCCCCAGCCTTGTGATAATCATTCTCCGCCTCTTCCTAACCCAGAGTCATACCACCGCCTTTATCACATGCAAATGACACAAAATGTTCTGAAAGTAAACATTCCAGAATGGCATCAGGCTCTTTAATAGAATTCAAAGCAAAAATGTCAAGCTATACTTACATTGTAATTGCTTTATTTACATTGTTGAATGCACAACCCTTCCCATATCCTCCTGAGACCCCACCCATTCATTTATGTCCATTGCAGTGGACATTTTGTTTTTGCAAAACAAAAAAAAAATATTTTTCACTGATGTAAGGAAACATATTTATTCCTGTTGTACACTAAAGAGGACATGCTGTGAAATTAAAGATAAAATTGAAAAAATCTAAATTGTAAGATGTCTTATTTCCTCCAAAGACAAATAACCTAAAATTGAAGGACACTTTTTTCCCTTGGGTCTCAGGAGGATATACAATTTGGACAGATTTAACAAAAGCATACAGAAGTCATCGTGTATTGCTGCACCAGAATCAGAATTTCTAGATATTTATGAAGTATATTTGTTACAAGGCCCCAATCCACCACACATGCATAAAAATAAAGTATAAAAATATATGACTTTTCTCAGCAAGAGTGCCTTGGATGGTTTTATGCTCACTACAAACTATGTAATCAGATCACACGATCAGTAGTTTTAACAAATATTTTTGAGGAGTTTTTCTATTCTGTAAATTTAGAAGCCTAGGGATCTTGGGCCCCTCAACCCCCACCCCCTACCACACACACACACACACACACCTGAGTAAAACATATTTCCATGTCTCATTTCCATGAATATCACTCTGCAGTTATTTGTGTCATTTGTATGTTGTTCACTGACAAAGAAAGGCAAATTTCAAATATACAGAAAACATGCTTTTCATTATACCTCAAATTTAAACAGATACAAAACTAACTGAAAAACAAATACTATCTATATATTCTTACAACAATTATTGAATTATACAACTCAGTTTTTTGGTAACATCTGCCTGTGAGGGTCAGAAACAATGCTGTTGTTTTTCCTCTGTAGTTTTTCAAACTGTTTCTGGGACACAATCAGGAAGTGGCAATGGAAGCACAAATGGTACCCAAACTGTTCTCCTCTCAGAGAGCTGGAACATGTGAGGAGCATCTTCAGTGATGAAAAACTCACCGCCCCATGATGCATGGATGGACGCTATGTGACCCATGTTCTTACTGCAATCACTGTCTCCAAGTCACATGTTTCAGCCTCACTTGTCCTACCTGCACTGTACTATACATTCTTATTATTGTTAATTCAGTTATTATTACTTATTATTTATTTCTTTTTCACTGGACAACAGAAACGTGTCCGAGATCATTGTCTATAGTAAGAGATGTAAACATTGCATTTTTTAATTATTTGTCTTTATATTAAACTCTCTGGGAAATTAGGGAAATAGTGTGTCTACAGACAAACATTCATTTATAATTTCAACAATGCTGACACTGGAGCATTGACAAGGAGAGAACGAGATAATAGCTTTGCAATTAACGCACAGATTTGTGTGGTTTCTGGTTCTGCTAATCAACCATAACATCATGACAAAAGGCGTATTGGTCCCAGTGATGCAAAAATAATCGAGGCACCTCAGAGAAAGAAACTGCAGCTTTCAAAAGCAGCATGGGAAGAAAGCAGCATTAAGTTGGGGCTGGAATGAGCCTCTGGCTTGTCTTTACTAGAACAGTAAAAGTTAAAGCTTGGCTAGAGGAGAGCTCACAGTGGCAAAACTTTGACTTGGTCTGAAATGACATGATTCACTCCCATCTCAGCTAATGGCATCCCAGAAGTCCTAAAGGTTCTCTCCAGGCTGGTACTGGGGCTCAGTGGAGGTGAAGTAGTCCTCCAAGAAGCTCTGCAGATACTCAAAGGTGGGTCGTTCCTCTGCTTCCCTCCGCCAGCAGGTTAGCACCAGGTCATGCAGGGACTCCGGGCACTCGGCAGGGCATGGCATTCGGTAACCTCGCTCAACCTGGTCCAGCACCTCCCGGTTCACCATCCCTGCAGTCGGAAGGAATCATAAGGAAGAATCCATGGGAAATCTGAAACCTTTAGAAACAAGGTAAACACCATTAACAGCTGATTGTCTGTGAGTCTGTTTTGTTCAGTTCTGTGTTTTACACACATTAGAAAATGCCATGTCCTCTCATTGTTTAGATGACTGGCTCTTTGTGGCTTAATGGGAGCTGATGAATGGGGTATACCTGGGTATGGCACTCTGCCCTTGGTCATCAGCTCAATAAGAAGGATCCCAAAGGACCAGACATCTGACTTGATAGTGAAGCGGCCATAGAGTGCAGCTTCTGGTGCTGTCCACTTGATGGGGAACTTTGCTCCTACAGTATGCCGAGGTGAGGAGCATATCAGCTTGTGGTTAGAGTTTAAGGAGATAATTAGCTGATGTGTCTATTTATTGTTTTTTTTTTTTTTACAATGCATAGTGTAAATCTATAAAAGTCCACAAATGGAACAATATGATGCATCATAAGGATGTTTTTTAGATATAACATGAAACAATCAGTATAAATGCTTTTAATCCGTCCCACTGCTACCACCTTGTCTGGCTGTGTACTCGTTGTCCTCGATGAGTCGCGCGAGGCCAAAATCGGCCACCTTGCATTGTATCTTTTCCCCCACCAGGATGTTGGCTGCCCTGAGGTCCCTGTGCACGTAGTTCATCCTCTCCACATAGGCCATTCCAGCAGCAATCTTGGAAGTTCAATGGGAGTCAAAGTCAGAATCAGAATTCACTACTATTAGCCTAGATCACTCAATGCCCCCTGCTGGTCCCTTATGTCCCCTGAATGCTCTTAATCCTGCTCTTTGTCTTTGGACTGAATGGTCCCTTTAGGTTATAAATCAGGTTTGCAAAAAATGAATATTTTGCTAATCAATTAAACATGTGATCAGCTGATCAATAATTGTTTTAATATTACTACAGATCCTTTTGAGAAATGCTTTAATCCAAAGATATTTAGACATCTTTCATTTCACTCTATACAGCAAGGTTTTTATTTCAGAAGTACCTTGCTTGGAAAAATGGGTTCATCCTGCAATTTATGGCATTTGATACAGTCTTACTCTCACCTGCTGCCCATCACATGCATCTGACACACACTGACAGCTAACACAGAAAGTCTACGGCAGCTTGACTACACGTGGCACTGCCCAGACAGGATTACTACTCACCTGTGATGCCATATCCACCAACTGTGGTAGCCTCAGCATCTTCCCTGTGTCTCCTTTAAGGAAATCTAGCAAACTTCCTGTGGGAAAACAGGAAGGCAGCCATCAGGATACTCAAGAGGACAGACAGTAAATATATATTCACCCTCCATCAAGGCTGAAGTCTTTGAACATGAAAGGGAACCACAGGAACAACTCTCTCCAAATGGAAAGGCAACACTAAAATGCCACCAAACCCTCTACATGTAGCACCTTTCCATACATCAAACATCATACATCATGCAAACCAATGAGGAAACTGAATGAAATGTCTCTGATTCCACTGACAAAGCCTACAGAGAGAAGGAGGATATCAGTCTGACATTACCATGCTGTTAAGGGCAATGTCACCCTGGGGAACAAAGTAAGAGATTAACTCGAATTAATGTGACTCCAGTTTCAGATCTTCACTGTTAAAAATAAAATCATGTGCTGGCCTTAATCACTGGGGTTTATCAACTACTTAGCTAGAAGGAGTATAGGTCATGGGGGACTGACTGACTCTGGCGATTAGGTGCTTGTAACTGTCTCCAGTAGGTTATGGGTTCTAATCCCATGGCCAGTAGATGACACTTCAGCAAGGCCCTTAACCCAAAAAACTGCTCCAGGGGTGCTGTATAAATAGTCATGTGCTCTCACCCCAAGCTTTGCTCTTGCCTGCATATGTCTGTGTGTCTCATCCGAGAGCAAGATGTGATTCGCAAAGACTTAAGATTTCTTATGTGCTTGGACAATGGCAAATGAAGTATCGTCTTTGCTTTGGGCACCGACCTTTGGCCATGTACTCCGTGACGATGTAGATAGGCTCCTCAGACACCACAGCGTAAAGCTGCACCAATTTCTCATGCCGGAGCTTCTTCATGATCTGAGCCTCTTGGAGAAAAGCTTCCGGGGACATGGTTCCTGGTTTTAGAGTCTTTATGGCCACGCGTGTTGTGCCATTCCAAGTTCCTGCAGCATCACAAGACAAGATCCCCTAAAGTATTACAAAACCACTTTCAGGGAATTTATTTAACGTTTCTTTACTGTGACCAGATGATCTAAAAAAAAATTGAAAAACTATTTTGCCCAAGGTAAAGTTTGTTTTTGCTCAGTTATGAGTGAAATTAGATGATTTTTTAAAAATTTGGTAAAAGGAAATGTCACAGTTTTTCAGTTTATCAGAATACTTATCAGGCAGACAAAAAAAGGACTATTTAATACGTTACCAAGATGTTGTTACTCATAAGAAAGCAATTTATGCATGCTAATAAGACATTAAATAAACAATTCAGTGATTAGAATTATTCAATAACTCCTTAAAAAGTCATTACAAACAAGAACTTAAACCATGATTCATCTTCTACACATGCTTATAAATGAGAGCGTTGTGGTCAAATCCCAATATTGAAAAATACAGGTACTTTCCGATATTTCCTCCTGCAGTACAAAGACACGCAGTTAGACAAACGGAAAAATCTCTAACTTTCCCAATGAGCATGACCCTGTGTGTGTGTGTGTGTGTGTGTGTGTGTGTGTGTATTTATGTGCCCTGCAACCATCTGGCTTCCTGTCCAAGGTGCTTTCCTGGTCCTACGCTGCCTAAATACTAAAAAGCTGTCAATAGACATCATGCATCTTAATGTGCCTTATGCTCACAGCATGGCTGAGTTCATGTGATTCACAGAGGAAGAATTCAATTCATTTGGTTTCCTACTGTGCAGCATTTCACATCTCATTAAGTCAACATGTAACTAGTTTAATTAGTTTGGCGCAAGAAGAAACGTTGTGCTTTCAAAACAAGTAAAATAAACAAGAAAAGGTCATTCTTTGCATAATCAGGTTTACGTCTGTTACTTTCAGAATGTCTCTGCACAGATGTGTTTTTTCACCTTCTTCAATGTGCAATTTACAAAAATTACAAAAATTTTAAACCAAGTTTTCTTTAATTTTCATTGAGACTGTATATAGTACTTGCTATATGTTTGGGTCAATTAACGGTTATGCCAGTCATACATTATGCTATACTATCTCAAATTAACAATGTTATTACATCATAAATTAGTATCATAGTACACTGCAATAAAATAAAAATGTAAAAAGACTGGGAAAAGAAATGATCAGGAAATGTGTAGCATACCCATCCAGACCTCCCCAAAGCAGCCCTGGCCCAGCTTCACGTCCAGCCGCAGGGAGTTACGCGGTATTTCCCAGGCATCCCGGGACAGGCCCTGGGTTTGAGGCTTCAGGACTGGGCACACGTCTGTCAGGCAATAGCAGAGGCCGTCTGCATTTTCTGGGAAAAAGTTAAGGATGAAACTTAGTGAGCAATTTACTTACCATGGTTTATGCTTGTGACTGGTCAGGCGTCACACATTAAAAACCCTGAGGTCTGCAATTACTGGAAAGAGATTTTGTGAAGAAAGTTGATTGATCTAGGGCACAGGTGTCAGACTCCAGTCCTGGGGGGCCGGTGCCCTGCACATTTTTGGATTTTCCTTCGTTTAACACACCTGATTCAACTCCTTGTGCTAATTACCACACAGCTGTTGAGCTGAATCACCCCCTGTTACTGATAGCTAGCAAGCTGTATAAAAAAATTTAAAAACAACATTGCCCATGATTCTTAGAAGAAGAAAAAAAAAAGAATATTGTTGAACTTTCTGTAAAAGAATTTTGGGAGCACCATAATCCCATTTCAGCCAGCAGTGCTGATGTGGCATGAACCCAACCGGGGGGGGGCGGTCGGCCTGGAGGTTCTCACTCACTGCGGTAGTGGCTGATCAGCTGCTGCAGAGTCTGGAACTGCGCTCGTGACGTGATGTAGAAGCCGCCACTGTCCAGCTTGCGGCTCTTATAGTGTTTGACATTGAAGCCCTTAGTGATGTCATTGTCCAGAACAGATAGGCAGTAAGCACCTAAAAAAGGTTAACAAGATGGATCATTAGCATAAAAGATAAATGTTTATTTCTTACAATAAGTTTACAATATCAATATATGACTAAATTATATTGTCATCAAAATTGGCTTTTAAATTTACTAACAAAATTAATAGAAAAACATAAATATCATCACACATAAATCCTGTTTTTATAACTACTTTCCAGTCACGCCTGGAACATGCCTACATAACCTCAGATGTGCAATATTTCTTAAACAGTGTTGGTTTACAGTGCTGCTTTACAGTGCTGGTTTACAGTGTGTTCAACATTGTTTTACTGTAGCATTATGGTGCAATATTCTCAAATGTGCAATATTTTAAAATGTATATATGTGTTTGACTTTTTTTTTTAACAGTGTCTTTACAGTGTTTTACAGCATGCACCTTAATAATGCATATTTCACTACATTTTGCAGTGTTTTACAGCAAGCACCTTAATAATGTGTATTTCACTGCACTTTACATTGTTTCACTATTACCTACTTTTCAACCTCAAAATGTTTGAAAGTGGGTATTCTATGACGTTTTACAATGTCTTCTTACTGCTTATTTTGTGTCCTTTTTACCCGTCCTGGCTTTTAATTATTTCCCTTCTTCACTGCTGACTGTAAGAGCTTCGCACAAAATTTCTACATACCCATACCGTCTGTGTGTGTACAAATGCCAAATAAATCTCTCTTCAATCTTGAATCAAATCAATGAACAAATAAGCAAAAGTGACTACAAATATTTACCAAACTTGACCTAGTTGAATAGGCATTGCCCTTAATATATTGTTGATTCATAAGTGGTTTTATGACTATGATTTTGTAATGAACTACTCAGGAAACTTCATCACTGAAACAAGCACCTCCAGCATCTTTGTGTTCCACATACCATCTGCAATGCGCTTTAAGTGCCCCATAAACAACACACGCATCATAAAACACTGAAATTAAGTATTGCAACATGCAGGTCATTTCTGAAATGTGACAATACTCACTCCTGACTTTCAGAATGTAAACACTGTGCTTTGACACTAAAGACACCCACAAAATGACAATTAGGTCATGCTTGTGTTACACACTTACAACCGGAATGGGACAGGCTGGATAACCAACACTACTGGCTGAGTCACTGATACATCCAATAACAGAAGCAAGACTGTTGGGGTTCATCATTATTTGATTAAATTGAATATTCATGCATAAACCTCCAGCCCAATACAACAGGATTGGGTATGCTAATACGAAAATAACATGAAAAGTAATTCATGGAATCTTTTATTTTTAGTCCTTTAAAAACAGAAAAAACATCAGTCTTCAAAATCCAATATACACACATACATCCTTATCAATATTTTATAAATAGCTTATTCAGAAGAGGCAGAGTAGCATCTTAGGTCTTAAACCCAAGCACAGGCCCTTAACAACTCAAGTTAAATTTCCAGTAAAAGGTCTTATGTTCTAACTATAATTGGGCTTAGTCAGTCAGTAGGACACTCACCCTTGGTGGTCTCACTTTCTCTCACCAGGAATGTTCCTCTACTTTCAGAGCTCAACAGGAGCCTCTCCGAGTCACGGCGAGTAATGCTTCCAAAAAACCACCTGAGGCGAAAGGGCTGATAAATACACTGGCGCTTACGACCACGCGGCTGCAGTCAGAGGAGATACATTAAACGGGAAGAGAGCAGTGATTAACCGCCATGTCTGACCAACAACAAATGAGCGAACTTTAGATCTACGGCTTATTCAGTGTCACTCTTATACAGCAATTACTGATTCGTAATTAGAAGCCAGAGACAAGATAACGTCAACTAATCAAGCTACGATGGATTTAATAAAGTGGGCCTAGAGAAGATTAAACATGGGTGTGTGTTTTAATAGTATCTGGCAAATGATGCTAATTTGACTCAGATTCTTTCAGGGTGAGGAGGATTAAAGAATTACTCTTCAGCCTGGATGGAGTCCAAAGGGGCTATGTAGTTGCTGGGAATGTAGCCGCTCCCCCCGGTGGTCAGTGAGCGTGCGAGCCACCAATCCCCCTCCCTGCAGATAAAGAGAAAAATAACAGCGTAAAGGAATAAATTACACACGGATTGACACATCCAGCCGCCTCCCACAATGAGCTGTCATGCCACGCAAGGAGTTCCATTAAGCTTTTAACCTGATGACTACCTCTGCTGATCCCAGAGGGCAGTGAGCATTATTTAGAAAGACAGACAAATGGGATTTCTCAGGAATTTCCCCCCTCCCCCCCCACCCATGTTGAGCAAACACACATACCAGTGAACAGCGGTATCTGGAACATCATGATACGTACTTGCTTGGGTCAGTTTTAATGGGATATGATGCTTCTTCATGGAGCAAAATAGATGCAGCTTTTTTAAATTGGTAACTTGGAAAGGACTTCTAGCAGGAGGCACTGATGCAACCAGCCAGAGGAAAACTACCCAAATGGACAAAAATCACTTTCATTTTTTTTTTTCCAAATATCTTACAAACCCAAAGGAAAATATATAAAACGCACCTTTAAGAGAAAACCCACTGAAGTCACCAGAAAATGTCAATGATTTGATTTGTACTCCACATATATAGAGGATTTATTTATATATTGTATACATTTTGCTTTGTGCGTATTTTACCATTTTCAGTGTTTTCCTGATGGTGTTCAGCCAATTAATGTTACAAATATTTAGACAACATTCCAATATTAAGAGTCCCTTTTCCAGGGTAATCTGAGAAGACGGATATATGCTGAATTTATACAAAACTACCAAATGCCTGCTTTAAGCAGCAAACCAAGAAATATTACACTCAATTTTAATTATTTTTATTATTATTTTTAGTTAAGCAATTTTTTTATAGTGTCCTACTTCTGTAAATATGAGGAACAATATATGAATTCAAAAATTTTCAGGGGAATTACCAGAAATTTGTTCTCTATATAATACTGTCCATATATGACTGAAAATAAACCAAAAAACCCCACAGTCAGAGCCATGGCAATCTCGAACCCTGGTGCCTGAGGAGTGAGGCAACAATGCTAACCACCCTGTGACTAACTATAATAGAAAAATATTACATCAATAAAACCTGTGCTTCATAGGCCTGTGACAATTCTGGACTTTAACCCAACAGAAGCCAAACCTTTAATAGTAAACTTCATTATGCGGATCTATTGTGTCTTTTACTAATAGCAGTCCATAGTTACAGATTAAAAGGTATTAAATTAGAATCAGAGTGTGTGAAAGTTAGCAGAGAGACAGACGGAAACTGATGAACATGGTCTGTGACAGTATCTTAGTCCTCTGATGCTACTCTTGTTGCAGTTTGTGTGTGACGTACAAAATAACAACAAACAAACAAACATGCATTTGTGGTGCATTGGGGAATTTAGCCAGAATCTATATCTTCTTACGTGTTATTGAGGATCTGCAGTCTCTCGCCTTTCTTGAAAGTCAGATCTGAAGCTGTGCGCGATTCATAGTCATACAACGCTACAAAAGTAGTGACTGCTCCTATAGGGCAATAGAGGCAGAGATTCAATATTGTGGAACACATCAAATCATACCAACAGTGTAAACATACAAATATGACAAATGATAGAACATCATTTATTTTCTGAGTATATTAATAATGAGAATTTATTTAGTACAGTATGTGCATTGCAGTCTTAACAAACCAACAACACACACAGCTTTGATACTTGCCAGGCACATACTAACTGTACACTCCGTAGTTTATATTACTACCAAAACACCTGAAAGTTCACCAAAGCTCACTGGTATAACTGTATAACCATCCAATAATTAGTACCTGTAGCCAGGGCCGGCCCTGGGTGTTCTGGCACTGTAGTCAAGTATCTGCTAATCACCCCCCCCCCCAACCAAAGCAGCAGAAAACAAATTTTTGTTTATTTTATATTAAAACCATTTCACAAACATGAGGTATCTGGCTGTTAAGTAGTTAGCTCACATTTTTTTCACAAAATAGTATTGAAATATTAAAACTAGTGTAAGTAACTGTAATGTCACGGAATGCAAACACGGGTATTTCTTCAGATTTTTTCCACTTGCTCTTTTTCGCCCCATAATCAAATGGCACTTTAGGCAATCGCCTATGTCACCTGCAGGGCAGGCCGGTCCTGCCTGTTATTGCCCTTCTCCTGAATCACCCCACCAGTCCATGACTGAGAAATCACCCTGAGGTCATACCTGCAAGGTGGCCGCTTTGGGTCCCGGAGCTGGGGATGCCACTGGGATTGACGCCCCCGAACAAAGGCAGCTCTGTATTGGGGGGCTGCTCGCCCCGGCCGCTGTCCCCGGTGAGGGCACTCTTGCTGGGCATTTGGCTTGGATAATGGAGGCTGCCCCCAGGGCCTGTAATGCCGTCCAGGCTCCGAGGCCTCTGTCCTGCTTCCTTACACTTGCTTTTGTTGCCGCCCATCGCCAAGCCTCCTAATTAGCCAGATGAATGGCTCCTGCTGGACGAGTTTGACACTTGGTGATTTTATGTTGTTGCAGAATCTTAATAAAATGACCATCTGCATTCACCAATGAAAGTTTCTCACGAGACAACATATTTGTTAAATATACAACAATAGAAGCACATATAACTCAAGTTATGTGTATTGATATCCATCCATCTTATGGATCAAATGCTTATCCAGTGTAGGGCTGAAATGAACCAGGCATGGAAACAGCCTGGAGGGGCCAACAGCCCAACGCAGAGCATGTACATACACACACACACACACACACACACACACACACATGTAGGGTAAACATATCCTAATGGGGACCGCTCATTCATTTCAATGGGAAAAATGCTAACGCTAACTATGACAACCTTAACCCCCACCCTGCCCTAACCATAACCATAAGTAACCAAACAAAATACAAGAGATTTTGCATTTCTAGTTTTTTCATTGTAGTCACGGATTTTTATAAAATAGAGTCCCCAAAAGGTAAAAAAAAAAAAAAAACGGGTATTCATCACGTTGTGGGGACATTTGGTCTCCACAAGGTAAGATATACCTGGACCACACACACACACATACACACACACAATCACACACTGGGCTCTAACTGCACTACCCACTGAGCCACCAGTCAACCATCTTATGAGATGATAACACTACATATATCATTTTAATTACGTTATGTAACAGAGTTCTACTTAGCTGAAATGAATAAGTAATACAGGCTGTAAGCAGACACCAAAACAATCATAAGGATTTTGAAAAAATATTCTGCATTAATACATTTCCGCCGAAATCCAGAACCTTGCTGCTGTCTTTGTCAAAGCAAATTTATGGGCAAAACTTAAAAAACTAGCTATGAGGGTATGAATAATTAATGCAGACAGTGTTACTTTGATTGCTGAGTCATCTAAATTGTAAGAAAAATAATTGACTAAAATAGAGACCTCCTCCAATGTACAGAGAAGAAACTAATTCTGCCAAAAAGCAGTTTTATTTACCCACAGCACTGCTCATTATACCTGGTTCCAGAGCTTCCAAAAGGACCCTGGTGATGTAGCAAATTTCTAGCTAGAGAAAGGGCCTTAAGTGCATTGGAAAGTGTTTCCAATCTACCTCCATGTTTATTCTCTCATTACTCCACTTACTCTACACCAGAAAATGGCAGTAACACTTTACTTAAAGCAGACATGTATAATGCATTATAGACACCACTATAATGCAGCCATAAAGTATTATTATCACAGCTATAACAGTTTATAAAAAGGCATAACACATTATGGTATACTATATTCATTATGCATTATGAATGCTCTATGAAGCTGCTATCTATAATATACTATAAATAACTTTACAATGCAGTATAAAGCATCCTTAATGCTTATACTGGCCATTATAATGCATTATGAAGGTATCAGTACTGCATTATAGATGAGAACTTCATAGAACATTCACAATGCATAATAAACATGGCTATAATGTGTTGTGCCTTTTTATAATATAGCCGTGTGTATAATACTTTATGAATGCATGATAATGCATTATGAAGGTATCTATAATCTATAATGCATTATGATGACTATTTTAAGTAGTGTTGCTGAAAATGGCTTCTTCCTACCACAAACAGTTCAGTAAGCTGGCAGCAGTTATTTTCCATTTAACCGTTTAACGTTATCTCCATTATTCAGTCGTAGAAGATTTGTTTTTAGCTAGACATGCATGAAGCAATTCAGGTAAACATTTTGCTCCTGTAATTACCAAACCACTAGTCAGAGGCAGTGGAATTATGTTTCTGCTGAACAAGCTCAGACACATCGTATACATATCTAAGCTGCTGTCCTTGAGAAGCACTCTAATGTTCCTGGCTGGGTTTGCCCCACCATTCATACCTTCAGAAGTTGTGATTACTGCTATGTTTTGCTATTCAAAGTGAGAGAATAGAGCAGATGACACCCATCCATCCATTTCACACACACACACACACTGATTGTCAAATAATTAACACATTGACACAAATCACACAAGACCTTTCAGATCCGTCTAATTTTACTATGCAAATTATTATATGTAAAACATTATTGAGTCATGGGAAAAAGTATATCTTCCTTCAATTATATGTTTTTTATTTATCAGGGCATCACCAACTTTTATAAACAAACAAACCAAACCATCAGTGACAAAAAATAAATAAATGATTTAAATATTTTGTGATTTTTTCCAAAAGGAAAGCCTCAGTTGTGGGGTGACAAATAAGTAAACCTTATAATTCAGTAACGTGGAACCACCTTTAGCAACTACAGCTATCTGTAGGAGTTTATCAGTCTCTCACATCATTTAGGCTCAGTATTCTTTACAACATGGTTTCACTTCATTGATGTTTGAAGGCATTCATTCACGCACAGCTGTCTTAAGACCTTGCCACATCATCTCAGTGGTGTTGGGGTCTGGACTTTTGACTTGGCCATACCGACAGCTTGATCGTTTTCTTCTTTAGACATACAGAGAATGATTTGCGAGTGTAATCATTGTCCTATTGTATAAGACACCAACTACAGCCCAGCTTAAGCTGTATGACAGATGGCCACACATTTGTCTCAAGAATATTTTGGTGTGAATTGGAATTCGTGGTCATCTCAATAACTGCAGGTTTCCCAGGTTCCATGGTTACAAATCAACCCTAAATCATCACCAATCCACCATTATGCTACTGTCTGTTTGAGGTGACACACTATGTTTGGTGCATGATGACCAAACATCACCTTGGTCACATGGCTCCAAAGGATCCAGAACTTTTCTGGCTTATTCAGATGTATTTTGGAAACCTAAATTATGCTGCTATATTGTTTTTAGAGTGGAGGGGCCCGCCCACATTTCATTCCATTCATTGAAAACCAAAGTTATTCTTTCTAATTGTTCTGTCATAAACATGAACATCTAACATGCTCACTGAGGCCTGTAGCTCATGCGATGCAGCTCTTGGGTTTTCCTTGATATCTCTGAGCTTTAAATGGTCTGACCTTGAGCTGAATTTAATGGGATTCCCACTTCAAGGCAACGGTCTTGAAGGCTCTCCCTTTGTAAACATCTTTCTCTCCGCAGAATGGTGAATTTCAAATTGTTTGCAAATGGCTTTATAACCCTTCCCAGATTGATGAGCAGCAACAACTGCTTCTCTGAGGTCATGCCTGATGTCTGTTCTTCTTGGCGTGACGTAAACACAACCTCAAGGGCTCCAGGACATCAAACTGCCACAAGGTGTGGCTTTATTGAGACAGTCACACTTGCTGCTGATTTACCTGTGCATTTCATTAGTAACACCTGGCTGCTAAATACTCTCCTATTTGTGGTAGAAGCAGGAATGGTGTACTCATTCCCACACGCTTCCTAAATGTTGGCTTACTTTTTAGAAAAAATCATGAGATATTGAAATCTGTTGTGTTTTTCTGTAGATTTTAGAGTTTAGATTTGTTCATTTATAGAGGAAGCTGGATAGAACCACACAATTGTTATTTAGACCTGGATAATTAAAAAATATGGAAGTGAACGAGGGTGTACTTTCTTTTTCCCATAACTGTAAATACAGTTGATTCCTCATAACGGCACATGAGATAACGTCATGCTCTGCTTTATTGGACAGTGTGCAGCTGGTCCCTTTTCAAATGAATTATTTTCTATGGAACACGCTTCAGTTAAGCACACTTCTTATATCTGCACAATCCAGATAAACGTAACATGTCACATGATCACAATCTCAACAGTACAATATGAAACATTTCAGATAACGACAAAGGCTTTTATTTTTGATAAAATGCACTTTTACTCACATGCTGGCCTCAAAAGCAAACCTAAAAAATGACTAACAAAAATAACCCATAAGCTACTTATTAGTGCTGTAATGGTACAATTATTCATTGTGCGCCATTCAGGTACATCGTTTTTGGTTTGGTACGCACAGTGAAATCAATGAATACTTTGCATGGGACAAGCAGAACCTAAATTCACAAGCAGATGTTCAATATGGAAAACATTATGGAAATTATGGCTTTCAGCTGGTTATGACTAATGCTGGTTACTGTCAGTCCTATTTAGCAGTTTGGGATCATTTTGGCTTCCCAATAAATTACACCAGAAAGAGAGAGTAGTTGATAAGACCAAGACTACCTGTAGGCTCTGTTATACTGAACTCAGATATGTTTCTGGAAACACATCCAACATAAGACAAAGGCAGAATCCTTTGACTTCCGCATACAAAGACCAAATGCATCACAATGAGGCTGTCCCATTTCAAAGGGTCCTTCGAATACGGGATGTTTCTCAATACCAACAACACAAAAATCATCCTTTTGTTCTTGCTAACTTGCCTCCCAAGAATGAATCTGGAATCAGTGAAATATGAGGTCACTTTGGCGAGGATGCTAACGATGTATCCTTGATATTTGGGTCGGGGCAAGAACGACATTGCGGACTAGGAATACATCCTTCTTTTGCCAACAGGTAGATCCTTCTTTTGCAGCCCAACATATCCCAAGATTCATTGTGTGGACCTTCGGGGGACGCAGCCTACAAGGGCTACACAGGCTGCGTCCTTCAAAGGATGCAGCCGCTCAACTCAGAAACAGCCGATGTCATCTGAATGCACATACAAACGGAGCCAGGAGGAAACAGCTCCTGCAAGTTAGCTTTCCCACAACATTTAAGGCACTTTTGTCAGAAAATTAATACTGACTACAGCCATAGGGGTGTTTATCGCCACAGATAAAATTTCAAAATTTCAGCACCATAATTGTGCCGAACCATGAACCCAAAACAAGTTTGTACCAAATCGAGAACATTGTGTATTGTTATACCCCTGCTACATAGGTGTAGCATATTTGTCTTTATTTCAAGAGGCCTGGTGCAATGTCATATACAGCAGTAAAGTACAGTCCAGACACAACAAAACAATATGAGTAGAAAAATCTAAAAGGTGTAGTGGTTAGCACTGTGGTACACCAACCATCACA